ATCATTACTGAGCCACTGCCAGTTGCAGTAGAGGACTGTTTAAAAGAGGCCATGTCTTATTTATGTGAGTCAAATTGGCGCTTTCCTCATTTTCGAGAAGTAGCAGAAACCCATTTCTTATTCTCAGGACACCTGCAATCAATCAAGAAAGGTGCGCTGGCAAATGCCATACATCATATTGAGAAGTTAATTAAATGTTTGAGTGTGCCGGCTTCGAAAATTTATGACCACACACTGAATACTTATCGCGGACATTCAGTGATATCCCTCTCACCCCACTCTTTTTCCTCCCTTGCTGCCGCATTAGCCCCGGTTATACGGGCTCAACAAATAAGGATCAAATATGGAAATTTCTTGAGAAATTAATAAACTACGAATGACTGGCATAAAATGTGATTATAATTTGTATATTAATGTCTCATTCGTGTGAATGCGTGATATCCCAGTATTTGTTTGAACTAAAGGGGATGGTTTGATAATTTGTTTTAGCATGATTTTTTTAAGAGGAATCAGAGAGGGGGAGGGGATGAGGTAAAAAACCGACACGTTTTTATGGATTTTGCTGAAGAACGCTCCTGAACGTATGTCGGAACATCTCAAAGGAATTATAAGTATGTATGATTTCTGCGTCAAGGAACTGCGCATTTTTTCAAATACACGAAACCAGTGGGATGCAGAGATTACTAGCCCCGCAATGTAATTCACCAAACAGAAACTTCTTGGTTAGCAATGCGATCTAACAATGTGTGACTAATTAGTACCATTAACTTCTAGGTGATAATTCGGTTAATTTCAGTTTGCACTGAAACAGCGAATCGATCTCAAGGAAGAGCCATTTGGTGACAAAGAGAAAATGATGGTCGACTAAACCTTTCTTGAACTGTTTTTATGGTACTTGTTTAATACTTTATTTTAAAACTTTGATCGACTGCACTTCATCATGTTTCCTTTCCTATGCATTTCTAGCTGCTTTGAGCAATGATCCATCGTCTGGTGGTCCGCAAGCTGACCGGCTCACTGGCGGCCCTAATGCTCGTCACACCTTCTGAAGGGATTACCAGCTCAATGGCTGTAATAATCAAAATTTTTAATAACTTAAGAAATTTGTTGCTCAACCTTTGTTTTTGAATTGTTTTACGGTTTTTGTTGTAGAAGAAAGTATCACATTTGTTTAAATACTAATGTCACTGTAATAAAACCTTTGTGTGCATTTAATCAGAATATTTGCGCTTGGCTGTGAGGTTGTGTACCGAATTTGTCACAGTAATTTTGTTAATTTGAAAGACAACTAAATTTTTCGATATTTTTGTTAAACTGTATCTAAATAAAAATCATCTTCGCAAATTTGCTTTCTAAAAGAGTGGCGTTGCTCAGAAGTAGCCCGAGTGCCAGCAACAGCTATGCTGGTAGGATTGCCGATGGCTTCCTCTTTCGAGTATTACTTAGAAGCAAGCTGACTGCGC